CACTAAACATAATGTCCAACTATATAGTTTTTCTTGTCGTTTAAGAATGGATAAAGATATTAATTGTTCGTGCATTATAGTATAATAATGCACAGTTTTTCGTTTAAATGCTTTGTAATTAATCACTCAGGCCTATCGGCCTTCGTGATTATATTACTATGCATTTGAATTCTCTCCGTGCATTATTATACTATAATGCACTCAGAATTGATAGATTTTGCTAAGTGTCAATGCTAGAATACACGTATGATTATTGTTGTGTCCAATAGATTTGAATCTCATGATTCTCATACATTTATCTTTTCATATTAATGTAGCACATATTAATGAATACTTCGTTGAAAGGTACAATTACCGACAGTTTCATTTAGAAGCAGATCTTACCGTGTTTATAAAACGCTATTTCAACAGTTAAAGGATTTCTGCAACATAATCTTAACTTGGGAAAATCCGGATTTAAAGTGCCTTTCGGTATTATAGGTTTCTAAGATCTAAGGATAAAGTACATCGAACATAGCACTATTTATTAACCTCCTGATCATTTTTTATTTTCATTTCATTTTATTTGTTAAACAGCTCTATGTATTACTTAATTAATTATGGTAAGTCTAAAATGACATTCATCATCTATAAACGTAATACTTAAGGAGAAATGAATAGAATCGAAAATGTTGAGTACGAATAAAAGTGCGAGGTGGTGTCTTCGATACAATCAGAGTGAGAATTATAGTAAGAGTCCATCCGAGGGAAAATACAAGAATCGTTCAGATAATTCTACAAGCAAACCACTTTGTATGTTAAAAGTTTGATATCTTACCCATCAAATTTCATCCAGACCCCAACTCAAAATCAACGTGGTTCCCAAAATTCAAAATGGGCGCCAAGATGGCGGCTGAGTTTTATTAAATAATCACATACTCGTATATTAATGTTGATACTACCAAATTAGGATATTCTTATCATTTTTGTTAAATATAAATATTGTAAATGAACTGTTGTTTTCTTTTAATAAATAATTTTTTCATGAAAAAGTAGGATAAAATTAACAATTTTTCAGCCATTTTATAGTTGAAAAATGTATGAAAAATCGAATTAATTACCAAAAACTAAGTTTCACTTTACTGGTGCTTCAAATGAGCCATCAAGTATATCAAACAATCATTAGTAAACAAGTTTATGGTATATTATGTCATTTTACAAAAGTTTGTTATACCTATGGCTTTTCTTTGTCTTACTGAGGCGACACGAAAAGTTGGGGTAAAAGGACCTTTATGTAAAGAATGGTTATCACACACGCTGGCTGCCTCTGTGCAATCCCAACAGAATCACTAAAGTGAAAATAATCATTTAAAATCCTACTGATGCTTGGCTCAATTGCAGATTTATTTATGAAATATAAGTACAATTTCTCATTTTTATATACATGCATTTAACCTTTTACCGCGTGAGCATATTGTGAAAAATGGCCGTTTTCATTTAAAGGCCTCCTGTTACAAGTTCAAACTACTATGAAACTATGAAAAATGCTTCAATACTGATGAAACTTGGCACAAATGTTCACTGCACCATAGCCTCTGTCACTGCATGCTCAATCTTAAATTTCCTGTTACCATGGCAAAATTTCTGCATTGTTTTTTTCATTCAAAACGTATTTCAAACTGCTGCAACTTCTCAATAGATTGAGATAGAGTAAAAGGCTTTTCAGCGTTGGTAACACGTTACCTTAAGATTGACCTGAGGTCATTTTTAGCGTTCACATGTCCAGAAGAGGGCACATCCCCCTACTGGCAACCTCTTGATGTACCTTTTTGATGGGGGCGGCGCCGAAAATGTGATACATTTTTAACAACATTTCTCATACGAAAAACAATATTTGGGGCCTAAATAGGGCATTTTTCACTGATTGAGGCCTAAAAAATTGGGGGTCGAAAAGCTGGCAAAACACGTCGTCTATATGAGGTAAAAGGTTAAATTAAGATACTAGTAAACACAAAAAACATTATCCCTTTACATTGGTACCTGTGACATCATTTTCTAAAGTTGATCGAATTCAATTGGAGATTTTTTTTTTACTTCTTACTGTAGTCTGTTTTTTTCAAAAGAAATCAGACCAATTTTGATTTTAATTCTGATAAAATAACTGTTACATTTTCTTCAGCATTATAACTGACTGCTCACAAGAGTATTGCAGCCACCAAAATAAGTATGTACAATGTATTGCAAATAAAGAAACCATGGATCAATGATAAACGTAAGAAAGCCGTAAGTCAATAGAAAGTTTATCTTTAAATATTCGAGCATTGTCCAACATCCAAAAACCTAAAACATCATGAAATATTTAGCCAAAGCTAGTCGATCCATTCATTTAAAGTAAGACTTCAACTTCTGATGAAAAGCTTTCTGTTCAATATGCAGCTAGGGTATCATCAACTGGTAAAAGTCCTGCTTTAACCAAATTACAGCTACAATATTTTAACAAACTAAAGGAAGCTAGCCCCTTCGTTTAAAAGACAGTTTAGAAAAACTTTAAGTATATCCAAACTTTATTCTTCTAAATGTTATAAATGTTTCTCTGTGAACTTAAAATCTCCAGAAGTTCAAATTAGTCTTTCAAATTTAATTTGATAATATTATTTCTGATAATGTATCTATATGTACTGCTGAAACAAAAGCTTTTGATTTAGCCTTGTCAAACATTTTACAGCATAATAATTTGTAACTTTTTCAGATTCACTCTTTGTGCTATTTTATATCAATCAAAAATAGAAAATTTGAAAATATTATGGTAAAGAAGCTCTTGTTGTGATTTTATGATAATCATATTAAAAACAAAGGCAGTAAAATTATGTTGGATCCTTGGCCACGAAGGAGTACAAGGAAATGAAAAGTTTGTCTAAAGAAACCTTAAAAATTGAACCTATACTGTAACCAAAATTGTGATTCTTTACCTTCATTAAATAAGCTTATATCATCTGAATGGAAATCAAATTGGGAAAAAAGTGATATAAACCCCTGACTGAACGTTTCACCGTCTCTATCTCTTATAAACCATCATGATCAGGTTGGTCTTCTGAGATGTTCAACATGACACAATAGAGTAACACATTCTCATCTTTTAACAGGCCATTATGCTGAATGCTATGATCTTGCACAGGTTCATCATAGATATTACCGATTGAATTCACCTTCACACATTTTGAGCCATTTCCTTCCTTAACATTGATCGACTACTAAAGAGTTATAAACATGTATTATTAAAGTTTTTATAAACGTTATTAACTCTCTTTTTAACCCTTTTTATGCTTTATTTTCTTTTCTTTTTTTTGTTTCATAATCTTATTTGAAGAAATAAAATACCATTCATGTTGTGTTCGGCACGGTATGGCCAGTTGTGTGTCAATGTGCCATTTAACCCAAACACAAGATCATAAATTAATAAAGTGTCATTATCCAGGTTAACTTAAGTAAGCTTAGGAGCTGCATGCCTCCAAATTCATGCTGATTTTCAAGAAAATGTTAAAAATGTATTAAAAAGTAAACTATTGTCCACCAAGATAAAACGGTTATTCCTTTTATTTTATTATTTCTTTTCCTCAAAAGTTTTGCTCGAGTAAAATAATTATGATCATTTATATAATCGGGTTTCAACATAATCGCGCATGTTTTTTCTTGCTAATCCTTTTGAAACAACAAAGTACACTTGATTGACATGAAAAGAAATCTATATATTTCATAAGTAAAAGTCACCCTTAAAATATAATAGAAGATATTAAATATAGATGGAAGAAAAAATTCAAAATCTTGTTTATTCCTAATCATGGAAAAAAAAACCAAAGCACTGAGTTTAGAAACAAAATGATATTTATGTAATTGTGAAAGGGGGTTAAACTAAAACTGAAATAGCAAAGGGTATTCAAATTCCAAAAAGGCGCTCTCGGGTATTGTGTCTAAAAATGAAATAAATGACTAATTTTTCTTAATCAAATGCTCTTCAAAATGGAAGACGACGGTAAAGAACCAGTTCATTACATGTTAATATGTACGCTATAAAAAATCCTGATACAAGGAACTAATTCGCTACATGCTTATAAGGAACTCCGGATATAAGGAACAGATTTTGAATGTCCCGATGAGATCGTTATAAGCGGAGTTTACTGTATAGAGCTCTAAACGATTTAAATAAAATAAAGGAAGTAGAGTATAACTCTCTTATTGTAAATTCGTTTCAAATTGCATTGTGAAAATAAACGATATTATTGATACCTATTTGTACTTTTGTACAGGATATAAATCTAGACTGTATAGTATGAGAGAAAAGACCTAGCAATAATATGACAAAACTGTACAAATGAATGTTAATCCATAGGAAATTGATAATAAAATATGAAAAAATCCATTGTTACATCCTACTATCAAAGGGCGGTCGTAGAATTTCTGTTTCTCTGTCGATATGCCCCCTACAGGGACAGTGAGGTATGTACATTATTTCTTCTCAAGTTCTGATAATAAAAGTATGGTACATGCCATGGTCCTTCTGATTTGGTATAATCCTTGCGCTACCTAACCATCTCCCTGAAAAGCAGTTTTATATTTCTGGTAATCTATTACTTCATGTGTAATTAAGTATTGTTTTTTCTCTAGCAGTTTCTTTAAAAGGCGTATATCAGTTTCAATATTAATTTCTTAAAAGGCGTTTGTGTTTATCTAACATCAATAATCGTGTGTATACCTATGTAAAAAGCAAAGATAAAACATGAACACATACACATAGTTATAATCTCAGTCCGTTTCTTATACTAGTACTTATATTAAAACAATCTTTTCTAAAACAAATATAGTTTATTCTTTAACGGCTGACTTTTTTCGATAAAAGTACTTTCAAACTTTCATTTATAATTTCTTTTCAACAACGTATTGGCTAATATGTGCTTAACCAATACAAATTTACTTCCATGTACGTGCAGTCTTATTATTATGTATCATGATCCAAGGTAATAGGTATACAGATTATGTTAAGACGAGGATAAACATAGTGTGTATAAAATTTCAGTTGCGAATATATGCACGGCAATTAAATATGCCTATTTCAACTTCACTATTATGAGGATGACAAACATCATTCTCTTCGTTGTATTTATCGTGATAAATTTTACATCTACTAATGTCGAAGCTGGTTGCCCTGGGGATGTAGGCATATGTAATTGGACACCCTGGAAGTCATGGTCAAACTGTATTATGACATGTGGTGGGGGAACTAAAAGTCGGTATAGTCTTTATTGTTGCAAATCATCCTTGGCAAATGATATTAATGCCTGCATCAGGGACTGCAATCATACTATGGACTATTATTATAAATATCGCTATGAAACTCAACTATGTAACACAATTTGTTACAATGGTGATTACCAATACTGGAATAATATATGCAACTGTAGTGACGCTTTCTATGGAACGTGTTGTGGACAAGGTAAGTAAATAGAATATTGATTTGTACCAACTACGTGTCTTTTAATTTCAGCTGGAAGACAACTTTACAAATATGAAACTGTAAATTTAATTTCAACTTTTATTTTGAAATTTACATTCACTTAAATAATAATTAGTTAGCTTACAAGACAATGATTTAAGTGCTACGTTTTTACATTTTGCAATTGATGTTATTTGTACGAAAACAAATTTTGTTTTTGATGTTCACTTGTTCTTATATTTGCTGGAAGTACAAAAATACATATCTTTCGAGTAGAACATTTGTTCAAATACAAACTTAAGTTCATATCGAGTAATATTAATTTCTAAATACAATTATAATATTAATTTTGTCACGATGGTATATTCGATATTTAATCTGAATGAATGAATGTATGGATGCATTGATTCTTTATATTTTACAACAAAATAGTTTAAAGGCCATTTTTGCCTAAGAAATGCTTTAATATTTATTTATCACAAGCTTTTTAACTTTGGTGTACTTTCATAGTTTCCAAATAGTTACTTATTGGCCAAAAAACGTAAACCATCTTTTTCAAATGTTCCTTTTTGGCAACAAGTACAGTTATAGTTTTCTGTATGGAAGTCAAAATACTATTTTGTTTACATTTTGCTATTTTATGACAACTTATTTCACATTTACCGCTACTTTCGTCAGGTTACAGGTATCTAGCATTGTGTTGAACCACTATTTTAACATTATAAAATGCATGTTTAACCTTATCCAAGAAGTAGAAGTAAAAAAATATTTATTCCGGGGCATACTCTGCCTTTAAGTATTATAAAAAACATATGAACCATTTCGTATCAAATCATGACTTTGCAAAGTACCTAAGATATATGATTTATATTTGATTCAATTTTAAGTTCATATGCACTGGTTTGGTAGTAAAATGGGCGACGAATATGACCTACCTATTTATGAATACACGCAGTTATTCTAAAAAGCGGCATGTATTCATTATAACATATTTCTAATACTGTCTTATTTTCGTTGAAATGAAGTTGATTAACCTGCACATATAAGCACTATCCTAGAAATAATTGGTAAAATATTCCACCGTATCAGACAGTGAAAATTATCTTAAAAATATGTATCAAAATATGTATAATTCTGGTGTGACAGTAAATACCTTTATTTTACTCTTAACTATTTCTAACAGAAATAAAGTGAATCTCGAAAAATATTTCAATTTCGATGGTTTATTATTATGCTTTACATTTTAGTAAAAGCGTAAACAAGTTGTCACGGATGTTCCGCATCAGAAGTTAAAAAAGTAAACAAATATTTAGCGAAAAACCGCAAAACCTGATCTTTCCACCTCAAAATATAAAATAAGAATAATTATGGTATAATACGTGTTCTGTTAACAAATTTCTTATTTCATTTCTTTGACAGTGAATTATTTCATAATTTAAATAGTAAAGAGACAGTAAATAACGATCATAGCTTGCAATAGACTTTTAAAGTAATTTAATTAAGTGAAAGGAATTTAAAGTAAATTATTAAATTACTGGCCAAATTAGTACCAAACAATCTTTGTTTTTCAAATGCATTTTGTTTTGGTGTCCTTAACAATGTCCAAAAAGGTTACTCATTGTCAATATACCTTAGCCATTGTATTTCGGCAAAAAAGTACAGTTGTTGTTGGGAAGTATTTTATATTGCAGTGAAAATAAAACTTGCAAACTATTTCACATTCAACAATAAACCACTCATATTGTCTGGATCCATTATTACAGGACTATTAAACACATATTTGCCTTTCCTACACAAATAAAAGATGTAACGTTCTAGGACATTATGTGCCTGTAAATGGTAAATTATATATTTAACCTTGTTATTAAGTTACAATATAGTATTAATGCCACCACAATCTCTCAGTGTCTGCGCGCATGAGTTGGTGCGTGTGTGCGCGCGCGTGTGTTTTAGTGTTATATATATATAGATTATATAGTGAGCTTAAAAATATTCTTATTAAAAAGTAAAGGCCCGATTTCAACCAAACTCGTCTTTAAATGAAATACTTCTTAGTGGCCATGCCATTACACTATCAAACAGTTGAAGAAGAATAACTGAAAACCTAAGAGGAAAACAAAAACATAAAATATCAGTATGATATTGATACAGATTTTTAAATGATGGCAATTGTATAACCTTTTACACAGAATTTCCATTTATTTATTTATCATTACATTTTTCAATGTTCTACAACAACCAGCGAAAACATGAACACTGTTTATAATAAAGCAAGCCGAACAATCTTCTTCACTGGTAAAATCATATGAAAAACCACATCAACACAGGATGGCGGCGGCGTTCAATGAACGCAACACCTACACGACCCAGCAATACAGGAACACTGTCAAGGAGCCAAACATGACCCTAAACAACAGTGGGCACAAGTCAAAGCACGGACGGGATAACAGCTTAAATAAAACATGACAGAAAGCAACAGAAACCGACAATGAAAAAATGTATTGATCACTTAATAGGCTTACACAGTAAAGGGCGCAGGTGAAGGGGACACGAGGGTTGAGGAGGGGGGAATATATTGGTAAAATGAACATTTCTGCCTGAGACGGGAAAACAACAAGGAGGGACATACAAGTATCATCTTAAGTATGAAACTAAATCTGAGGAACACAGAGGGGTGCCTTGGAATGATCAGCAGCATAAACACTGATGGTGAGTTTTATGCGCTTAGTGGTGCACAGAGCCTCACTCTTAGCAATACCATGTTCCTTTAGAAAGAGACAATGTAAATAAAATTATTTTCCGACAAGAGAAATTCTAACAGTTGTTATGTTTGTAAACGGTGAAATAAGTAAAACACAGAAAGGATCATGTAGGAACATATTACAGTTAACATAATGACCATAACCAAAGTACTCAATAAAAGACAGCAAAAAAACACCTACAGCTGCCCGACGAAGCAGGTTAGAAGACGAACATAAAAATGATTCAGGCGCAAGGGGTTTAAGAACTTCCATTAAAGAGTCATAGAGTCTCTCACTTGGTCCGTCAGATGTAACCAAAAGACATGAAAGAGGAAAGCGTAGCGTCAACTGTTAAAGTTTTGAAAAAAAAGGTTGATGAAATGCCTGTTGTTTTTTGTTGTTGTTTCAATGTTTAAAAACAATTTGTAAAAACATATGGGCGTCAATAATTTAGATTAAATGTTGAAAATGAAATTATCTACAATTTTTGATCATTGATCTTTGTTGCCTATTTCATACAGCTCCAGTGAGTATGTCAACATGTTCATTGCACTTGATGTTTTATATTCGTATTGCATTATTATTGCTGACTGAAAATTTCTTGGAATGTTGGAAAAAGATCTGACACCTTCCTTAAACCTTCTTATCCAGATTTCTCAGACTTCAAGGTTCAGCACAGCATTTCTTTGACTGTTCAGCTCTTTAGTCACGTGATAAGTGTTGACATGTAGAGACAGCATCTTCTTGAAGTGCCTTGTACTGAAATTTTGTGTAATCTGCCAGCTGACCTAAATTTAAGAGGTGCTAACATTTCGTCTGCTCCAGACAATATCTTGTGCTACCCTAGTAAATATGGAACTGTTTTATTTATTATTATGTACTGGTGCATTTTTTATTTTTATTTTATTGTTAACAATCTATAATGATTTTGTATGTTCAATTTTAAAACAAAGTGTTATTCTACTCGAAATATCTCAGTCTGTCCTTTATACTTTACTTGAACATTATACTTGCAGAAGCTTTTCAGAAATTATTGAAGTAGCAAAGATAAGATAAGATAACCAAATACTCAGATATATTTTTTCTATTAAATACAGTACACATCAGTTTTTGTGTTTAAGAATTGTTTGCAACATAGCAAGTCGTGGCGTTTATATTATTTATCTAAGCCGATTTAATCATTTTCCCCAAATAATGAAAAAGGTAAAACTATGATGAGATGGACTTGCATATATTTATAATTTCAGGAATTAAAGAAAGGGAATTGATGTTTTAGCACTTGCTGGCATATTCGTACATCATAATACCAGATTTACTTGAGAAACAAAATATCCGAAATTATTCTAAATACTTAGTGATTAAAGACATATATTTGCATTGCCCGAAAGAAAGCGTGAGAAAAATGGTCAAATGAAATCACCAAATTCAAGTAGGAATACTGGAACAAACCAACTAGAAAAGGTTTCGATAGAAGGAATTAAAGATACCACAAACATGTACAGTAACCTAACAATAATGCGTGTCTTACCGTCTTCAAAGATCGAAAATATAACAGGTTTGATTTCATGTACATGGCGACTTTTTACGACCTTCACGCGACACAAACAAAACCGACAATGTAACAGGCTATTGTCTGTTGCTTTCGTCAAACTATACTGATAGTAAAATCTCCCCATATAATTAAGGATACAGCTCAGATCAGCTAAAACATATTTGAGTCCATATCCCTATATAGGCTTACCTATTTTAATCATTCAAAGTCCCATGAATAGCTGTGACAAAGTTCTGAAATGTTATTCTAACTATGTGTCTCTACAAACAGGCCTTATTTAAATCCTTTTTTCCCTGGTAATATCATGATTTCTAAGAGAAAACGCAACTTTAAGTAAAAAAATAGCATCGACACCAAGGTCATTATGAACAACTTTAGCCAGCATGATTTTACCGTTTGGGATTTATTGAGGGATTCTATTTTGTCTCTGTTTTACAGTAAAATTGAAAAGGGCCTCTCAAACTTCAAACAATATGTTCCATAAAATTATTTAAGCTTTTGAACCGATTAAGAAAGTACTGTTAATTTCTCCAAGTAATGATTTTGTCAATAATTATATTGAACGGACTGGAAACATATTATTATATGTGTGTCTGAATTTACCATTTTTCATATACATGTTCAAATTGTCTTAGTGAATATCAAGAAAAAATACTAATGTACAGTATAGTATGTGTAACACAAGTTTAACTTGTATGCATAAAAGG